CCCAGATTGCACAAAGAAACATTACCTTGAATACTGCACCCCAATCAAACAGTACAAAACAACAATTCTGCCTCAGTTCAATGAGTCTTGCCTAATTTATTTGAGAGGCAAAGCTATAATGAGTCATAGCTTGCTTTTAGCTTTGTCACTTGATCACTCATTTCTAGCAGATAAATCTATCTCCCCCCTCAGCACAATAGCCACATCTGCATTTTTCGTCCAACTTTTCTGTGTTGAACAAATTGTGTTTTACATATTTGCTGTATGCTCTAAAAGGGAAATATGTGTTAGTGGTAGTCATTTTAGGTGAGTTTTAATGGGTGATAAGATTTGAGTGGATAATTACAGTTACACACAATTTTTTTACCAACTGAAAGCAAGAGATCATGCATTACAAAAACACGTTTTGTGTAAATATTTAACTGTTAAAGAAATGTATGAATTAAAAAGAAACAGGTCAGTATCTTAAAGATCCAGATGTTCCAGGAAAACCTATACTAGCTTACAGCACTCCAAGTCAAGTCAAGTCAAACTTAATGATCAACTTAATATGCAGGCATACAATGAAATGAAATTGTGTTTATTTTAGACTTTATAATCAGCTTTACACATAAGGCAAACAAGACTCAAATTGTGAGGTCAGAGTCCACTTCCCTGTTGCTGCCACACTCCCACAACTGATCTCCCTCCCTGGATAATTGATAACTGTGTCTGATTTCAGTTTCAATTTCGTTAATTGACCAGGCTATTTAACCAGTCTAAGCAGTTTCCTTGGTGCAAAGAATTGTTAACTTCTGTCCAGTTATTGAGCATTAATTAGCCCTGCTTTTCCCTACGTGCCTGACACCCCTCCTGTGTGGTTTCATGCATATACTACTCCTGATCCCCAATCCCATTCTCAGTGCAAGCATGTGCACCAATCTTCCTGCGTCTGCAGGTTTGCCTGCCTTCCCCTTCACCCTCAGGACAGAACATCTGACCTCCTTGACCTTCATTATCTCCTGTTTTAGTTTTTGGGTCCTGCGGCCTGAAGGTCTGTGATTACTTAATGTGTCACTAATTACTAATGGAACATAATTAATTTGTACACAAAAACAATGCTTTAAAAACTTTTTTTTTTTAATTTGACTAATTATTCATGAGGGGCCCATTCTATATATTATTAGCAATGCATACAGCAACACCACCTCTTATTTTAGACCATTACTGACTTCAGTAGAAGCATACAGTACCAGGAACAGGAACAGGAACAGGACATGCTTCATCCACAGACAAAAGCAAGATCATTTGTGATTTATTACGCCGCCTGCGATGGGCTGGACCCCTGTCCAGGGTTGTTCCCTGCCTCATGCCCGTTGCTTCCGGGATAGGCTCTGGACCCCCCGCGACCCAGTAGGATAAGCGGGTTGGAAACTGGATGGATGGATGGATGGATGGATATTACGCCGCTCTGTGTTGCAGTATGAGACACGAATGTGACAATGGTGCTGACAGTAGTGGCTATGCCCCTGAAAGTCTTCCCTTTTCTCCATCCTTATGGGACTCTTTTCCTGCTCCTGTTAGGTAAAAATGTTGATATTTTAACACTAGAATCAATTCTCAACATGAAACATTCACATTGATTCTGATCTGCACACCCTTACTTGTAAGGATGACGAGCTCCTGTAGAGAAGGAGGAAACCAGCTCCCAGATGGTGACTGTATCCTGTGCCAAGAACTCCAGGGAATGACTGAGCCTGATATTAAAGGCATTATTAAAGGAAAGTTCTAATTTCTCAATTTTTATACCAAACTAAATAAAGTCAGATCATTAGATGTGAACAGTATGATATCACTGAAATTCAAAAACATAAACTAAATTTGAAACTGCATTATGTGATTTAAGACACATTTTAAGTTTTATAGTGCCAGATTCTTATAATACGGGAATTACAAGGAGAAACAGCATTTTTTCAGTTTAAAGCAGGAAGTGGAACTGCGGCTTTAGGGAGGGGTTGGCTAATTTTTTTAAATAAACATACACTGGATATCAAAATCAGAGAACAATATATGACCACTTGTAATTAGTAGCCCATGCTTTCTGTGCCTGCTTGTTTCTCACACTGCTCTGGTTTGATATCGGCCCACTCTTCTTCCAGCCTCTTCCAAAGTTTGGTAACAGTAGTGAGTTTCTTAGGCATAACATTGTTACTAAGGATTTTCTAGAGATTCTCCACTGGGTTTAGATCTGGACTCTCGGTTGGCCATTTCATTACTCCAGTGTTGTTAGCACTATTAACTCCAGTGTTGTTAGCACTATTAACTCCAGTGTTGTTAGCACTATTAACTCCAGTGTTGTTAGCACTGTTAACTCTAGTGTTGTCAGAACTGCTTTACTTGTTTTGCTCTGTGACTGGGGGCAGTGTCTTGCATGAAAATTGCGGGTGATTGGGAGATGCTTGCAGATAAGGAAGCATGTTTCTGCTGGTTCTGATGAACATTTGGAGTCACCCTGCCATGTGGCTGTATAGGAGGGCCAACTCCAACTGCAGAAAACATCCCCAAACCGTGACATTTCCTCCTCCAAATTAAACCGACTTCTTTACGCACATTGGGTTCAGTCTCTCCCCAGACTGAGACTGAAAATAATGTTTCCCATCAGATCCAAATAAATTAATCTTGTTCTCATCACTAAAGTGAACTCTGGACCAGTTTCTTTCTGTCCACACAACATGTTCCTCAGCAAAGTTTAGTCTAACCTCTTAGTCTGTCTCTGTAATTAAGATGATTCCAGTGGCCCCTGACAGACAGGGGACCTAAAAAATTTGGAGCATAACTAGATTGGTCTGGATTGGGAGCCCAAAATCTCTAACTGCACCACTGGTCACTGCAGAGTGCGCTTTCAGTCCAAATGGTCTTAAACAACGAGATACTGCATGGCGAGACAGATCCTTACCCTGTTCAGTGCTGAACTGGCAAGCAATTCCAGCTGCAGTGTTGAACCGATTCTCCATAATGAGTCTCCGCATTATCTGTCTTACATGGACAACCATCATTTTAGGGGGAATTGAATGAATTAGTGCCATTGTAAAGCTGCAATATTCTAGAAATCACATACTGGGAATGACCAGCTTCTATAACAGTGGTTGAAAGGGTTATCCCTTGAGCCTTCATCTAGACAACCTGCTGTCGCAGGGATCCAGTCACCAAAGAGCAGCTTGCCATCCTGCAAAGTAATTACAAGTGCAGCCAGATAAACAGGTCAGATAATTAAGAAAATTAGCACCAGGTGCCAGATTGGTGTTCTACAATTTTGATCAGAGTTCTTCAAATTTCTAATTTAAGTGTTTTTATATTGTGCTTCAGAATACTGTATATTTAAATTGTGGAATATACTTTAAAAAAAGCTGCCTTCAAATAGGTATAAACAGTTATTTTGAAAATTAGGAAATTGTCGGTTGCTCTCTAATTTTGATCTCCACTGCATATTTTCAAGCCTTTTTCATAACCCTTGATATTAGTACATTCTGATCGGCTGAACATATAAAATTTGCATCTCCATCAGTTCCTGTGACACTTTGGCACAACGTGAGCCCATCCAGTCATCAGAAGGTTTGGAAACCGCTAATTTAAAGTGTTCGGCCTCCATCTAGTGGTGGAATTGTCTGTGAATAAATACAGCAACAGCCAAAAGTTTCACTTGGAATTCTATTGGAAACTTCTTTACACATTTTTTTTTTTTTTTTAAGCAGGTGATTTTATCCAGGGGTGGCATGGTGGTGCAGTGGTTAGCACTGTTGCCTTGCACCTCTGGGACCTGGGTTCGAGTCTCCGCCTGGGTCACATGTGTGTGGAGTTTGCATGTTCTCCCCGTGTCATCATGGGGTTTTCTCTGGGTGCTCCAGTTTTCCCCCACAGTCCAAAGACATGCTGAGGCTAATTGGCGTTGCTAAATTGCCCATAGGTGTGCATATGTGAGTGAATAGTGTGTGAGTGCACCCTGCAATAGGCTGGCCCCCCATCCAGGGTTGTTCCCTGCCTTGTGCCCATTGCTTCCAGGATAGGCTCTGGACCCTCTGTGACCCAGTAGGATAAGCAGGTTGGACAATGGATGGATGGATGGATTTTATCCAAAGCTATGTACAATTTGGTGTTGCTCAGGGGATCAGCAGTGAAACCACTGTGTCAACCCTGGAATCAGGGGCGCCATTAGTGATTTGGGCCCCATGGAAGTACATTGTACTGAGCCCCCAATATGCATAACTATAGAAATGGCACTCGCCCATAACCTAGTGTGTCTATACAAAAAAACTTCCTTCTGTGTGCCGTGTAGTTGCATGCAATCTAACCGATCCCTTTACCCGAATTATTGCCATTTACAAATGATGAAGATCGAGATAAGACCAATGCCAAAAAAACCCCCCACAAAACCGAATACCTTAACAATCATGCAATAACCGCAGCAGTCAACTTTCTTTTCAAAATCTCCTGTGTCTGCACGTTGGCTCCTTCTAAAGTGGCTGGACTCCAGTTGACAAATGGGAGACACAGCCAATGGGACGGTGGACACTGTTCCAGGTCTTCTTCACAGTGGGAGACAGCGCAGGCAGATAATAAGGAGACTAAACAGCGTGATGGAACGCTGACACCACACCAATCCAATTCCATCCATCCCTTTTTTGAAACCACTTATCCTATTTAGGGTTGCAGAAGGCCCAGAACCTACAGGCACACTCACGTATAATTTAGCAACTCCAGTTAACCTCAGTGTGTTTTTCGACTGTGGGGGGAAACAAGCATACCCAACAAGAACCCCCAGCACAACATGGGGAGAACATGCAAATCACACAGAGCCACAGCAGAGACTCAAACCCTAGTCCCAGAGGTGGGTGGCAACAGTAACCCTAATGCTGGAGCCCTTGGAATGGTCCTGACTCCCCCCATTACTGCCTCCCAGTCCAGGGTTCAAACTGCCCCCCTCAGTGTCCTAACCCACTAAGCAACACACCACCACTTTCTCATAAGTGACAATGCTTTATTAATATTTTCTGTTACATATATGAAAATTAAAACAGACATTACAATTAACATAAATGTATAGAGAATGCCTTTTAATTATGCTATGACACCTGTGCTGCTTGAGTTTGGTGTGGCTTTGTTAAAGATCACCGCTCACCAGCAAAATAGAAAGAATAATTACATAATGTAGCAAAGCAATTGTTGGTAATTTTTCACTCAAAACATTAGGCATATGAAGCATGAAATATTTTGCCAGTGTGGGTCTTATGAGGAATGTGGATTCATACAGAATTTCAGATTTTGCCTATTTTCATGTGTTTATTTTACCCTATTCTTGGTGAATAAATACATGACAAATACCTCCATAAACTGCATGGAATGGCAGTTACCTCACTGAAACTGAGATCACAGGCAAAGTTCTCATTACTTAAATATTACAGTTTGCTACCAGATATTATTAATTTCACCATTAATCATGTTCTCATTAGCACTGGTAATCTTCCGCAGTTGTTAGTAGAATCATTAATTAATCCCTTAGGCAAAAATATTCAAGTCCCTAGTGTGTTATTAGCGTAGTAGGTACACCAACCCAATCCTCATTTCCCACATACCCTTTCTTCAGTTAGTCAATTTATCTTTTAAATATTGTAGAAAATCTGTTAAATGTGTGACGTGAGTAACAGAGATATGTGCAAATACACTTCAGTTGAGAGACTCCTAGTGGGATTGGCTCCTGGCTCACTGTGACCCTGCATTGATCAAGTGGATGAGTGTTTTTTTTTGGTATTATTGCCCTTTTCATCTTTTTATAAAATTGACAAAGCAGTTCCACAGAAGAAATACCAATTGAGCTTGGGTGTCTACAATGCATTGTGGGATTGATCCGCCAGGCTGGGTGGATACCTCTCATTGTCCAGGTATAGCTGTGCATTGGATGCAACTTTAGCTCTGTAGGAGGTGCATTTTGGTACAGGTATGTTGAAAATATTGTAGTGCGTGGAGCTGTGGGTTTGGGTAAGCTTGACTCAGCCCCCTTCCAATAATCCTATGTGGTGACCATCAGATAAGTACCATCATATAAGTGCCCAACCATGAACTGAATGGGGTGAGTGAAACGTCAGCAGTAGAAACAACAAGGTCTGAACCCCCAATTTTCTTTTTAAATACCTTTTAATTTGATACCTTTCAACAATGAGATTCCTTTGATGCTTAGTAAGCTCTCTGTGAACCATGGCTTTTGCAGTAGAATGCAACTGATTAAATGTCAGGAAAATCCTACTAGGACAGTTGAACTGTATTTGAGGTTAATCAGTCACTTTAATTGATGGCAAAAAGACCGAATACTGTAATTCAATCAAAAGGTGCTTCAACAAAATATGCATTTAAGGGTGTGCACACTTCTGCAACTAGCTTATTGTACATTTTTTACTTTTTATTTTTTTCCCCTAACAGATTTGTTTGTTTTTAACTAAATTTTGCGGGTTCTGATTAGCACTGCTAATCATATTAAAGGCAGGAAAAGTTCTGAAATTATTTAATGTGGTCTCATTTTTTTACATCACAAAAACCTGCCATTTTCACAGGGATGTGTATACTTCTTATATCTACTGTATGGCTAGAACTGTTGACTTGCGGCTTAATGCTTGTTACAGTCAGTCATAGGCAGTTTGGGAACATTTTGGTTTTCCAATACAGTACACCAGCACTGGAGAGAGAGAGTACTTGATCAGACCAGGATTGTCTGTCGGCTCTGTTATACTTATATTTCTGAAAACACATCTAACCTGCTAAACTCATTGAGGTGACATCATCCAAGTGTGTGTAGAACCAGAGCAAGGCAGAAACAGCCTCTGCAAGTTAGACTCCACATAGTATTTAAGGCACTTTTACAAGGAAATTATGACCGGCCTGAAAAATAATTATAGGCTATACAGTAGGTGTGTTTATCATGACATGGTTCATCGCTACAGTTGTGTTAAAAGGGATATAGCCCCCCCCAAATAAATGTACACTAATTAGTTTTAATAGTGTGTTCTCATTCATTTTCATTAAAATCAGAACCCTTAGTAAAGGTGTAGTCCCCCTTTTCGTAAATCTCTAATGATGTTCCCACCCGTGACCTTCCAAACATTGGCAAAGATCTCTGACACGCTCAGCTATGTACTGCCCCCACCAGAAGTTCCCCAGAAGCAGATGTTCTGCAAGATGGTTTACTTAAGAGCTAGCCATGAAGCACTACAGATGGAAAAAGGTGAAACTGTAAGGAGGACTTCAGTTAATAATTGTGATAGGTAGGGCTAAAAAGATTGGTGTCACTGTTTATATATACTGGGCTATAAATGTACTTTGATAAGAAATCTTCACATTAAAATTCAGGGGGAAAAACTCCTTTCAGACTGGTTCCAAAACTATGAAAAATATTGTTTGCAATGGTTACATTCCTAGTTCTTAGGTAGCTCGCGGGCTGGAATGCTTGTCTTTTTAGATGTTTTGGTATTTTACGATAGTGTTCCTTTCTCTGTGATTTTAATGCTATTTCACTTCTTGACAAAAATAATAATAATAAAATCTATGAAATACTATGAAAGCTGATTAAATCACAAATAAATTTTAAATCAAATATATAAATCACCATTTAGCTTTATCTGTATGCCTGACTGATAGAGTGAAAAAATATAAATATGAAATGAAATTCTATAAATTCCTCTCTACAGGTAAGAAATCTCTACAGGTAGTTCAATATATCTGCTATGTTAATAGCACCAAGTATATTATCTGCCTGAAACCCACACACAGACTACTGAGTTTTACAGGCCAATACACAGAAATAAATCAATCGTATTTTCATCTTGGTCTCAGGGGATGAGACACCCATTGCCTCCAGGAACCTGAAACATAAAGGTAGCAAGTTATGGATAAATTCTGCATGTTACATGGCCAAGCATAAAAAGTAGGACCTTGTTCTGTATATATGATACAAACGTAGACAGTACTTGGCCTGTGTGTCCGTGAGCAGGGCACTGGCCGCCTCTGGCTCTGCTTTCTGATAAGCCTGGTAGTACGAGAAGGTCTCCAAGAACCCCACAATATTGCTCACTGAGATGTCTTCTTCCACTGGGATACAGTCAATTCTGACAAAAACAAACAAACAGCATTATATCTTAATCAATATTTATAGTTTGCAGCTTAATCCTAAAGTTCACATTTCATTGTATCTGAACATTTAAAGCACTATTCACTTTTCCATTAAATTTCTACAGGACAGAGAGGCTCAAATGAGTCATGGCCATAACACTTCTCAGCATCAGCCCCAAATATATATCCAGTGTTCATATGTAAAGATTTCAGGTTTGAGCAGATGACTCAGGTTACTGATCAGATGGGAGATTCACAGGCATCCCAATGTTACCTGTTTTTGTCTGGGAAAGGGATGGCATCAAACAGGTCCTGAAGCTTGCTGTTAGCAACAGCCACTCGCTTGCTGACATAGGGCGACAGGGACTTAACTGTCTAGAAAGTAAAAATTAATACATAATGTCAACAAAAACACTTCCTGCATTAGCCACCCATATATAACATGTAGCTGTGAGAAAATGTTTTTAGACCATTTGGAATTATCAGTATTTCTGTAAAAGATGGCTCTGAAAATGTCTTACCATAGGTTATAATAATGTGTCTAATATAACAAACAATTTAAGTAACATTTTAAAATTCCTTTATACAGCAAGTGGTTTAATCGATGTCATAAATAAGGGCATTGATGGAAAAGGTTTTGTGAACATTTTGAGAAGGGTAACTAGAGTCGTAAACCTCTTAACTGCCGTACAGGTCTGATCAGCAAAGTGTAACTTTCCGCAACTGCTTTTTCCCACTCTTTGGCCATTAAGATTTTGGTGATTTTGGCCCAATGTAGCCACATCATCATGTTCTTAGCTGACCGATGTAGAACACAAAGTGGTCTTCTGCTGCTGTAGTCCATCAGTTTCAAGGTTTGGTAGACTATGCATTCAGAGATGCCTTCTAGGACACAAGTGTTGTAATGAGTAATCATTATTCGCACTTGTGGCCTTGCTGTTACTTTTAACAAGTCTGGCCATTCTTCAATCAGTAAGTCAGTAAGTAACACATTGTGTTTAATCAGTTTTCATCCACAGCCAGTAACCATAGTTTACATAGTAAAACTGAACTTCAGATAAGTGCACAATATACAAAGAATCTTGTGACTACAGTATGTATGGAACAGAGCATGTGAGCGGAGTGGAGTGGAGCGTGAGCGAGGAGCGGAGCAGGCGGAATTTGGTCAGAGCGCGGAGTGGTTTTTTAATTAAGCCTGGAGCGGTCGTTCCGTCTCGCTCAATTTCGCTCCGAAACCGCTCACACTACGACTCTGAGGCGTGCCCAAATCTACCCAGAAGTCATCTGTACAATTATCAAGACTGTTACACAAATCGGCCGAGATGGAATTTGCAAAGTATTTCACAAAGGAAACTGATAAATCATGCAAGTGTACTATTCTTATCAAACGTATAGATGACAATAATGTAGAGCAAGAACAATAATGTGGTGAAACTGTTTCAGTGAGTAAAGATTCACTTTGGAATCACTTTTCTCAGAAACATGAGAGGTTGCTACACGAACAGGCGGAAGCCAAAGCAAAACGCGAGCAAGTTTTATATGGTTGTAGCATATCAAGTCTATAAAGTAAATAAAAGTATAAAAGCCTATAAAGTAAATATTGGTAATCAAATAAATTAGTTTTGTCATTCAAAGTAGGTCTAATAGGATTTTTTAATTTCACGTAACGCTTTCAGTGAAATTTTATTTTATAGACAAGCAGCAGCATAAACAGAAAAAAATTGAGGAATTTAAAACGTGGATGCTTAGCCTGTATATTCTTTAGGCTATTCAGCCTACTGATTCCTTTATTTTTAAGCCTATTTTTGTGTGGAATGCCATTGCCAAACCTGTCCGTTGTTGCCTATATGTTGTTTAAAAATAAATATTTTCTGTTCTGAGTGTAGCCGTTGCTCATATTTATTTATGATACAGGTACAGTATGAGGCTTCGGTTTAAGGTGACATTTGTTAGGCATGCAGATTATTTGTCCCTCTTTTAAATTGGAGCGAGCGTGGAGATATTTGACTGGAGCGGGAGGAAATTTTAGTGGAGCGAGGAGCGGTGTTGAGCGGAGCGGCTTAGTGCGAATTAGGGCGGAGCCAACAGCCTCGTGAGCGAGGAGCGGAAATTCTCACCGCTCCACTCCGCTCACATGCTCTGGTATGGAACTCTAGGATGAGGAGGGAGATTTACAAGAAACTGAAAAGATTTTGTCAAAGACAATTTGGGTAAGCCCATGGCAATACCAGGCCTTTAGTTATGATACCCTTTTAATTGGTTTGAGATAATTGCTCCCAGAAATTATGAAAACATGCTGATGTGATTATTACTGTATAAATATCTGTACTAAATGTTCCTTAGGGTGGCAATTGGGTGGCGTTAAACTCATGAGCGAATAAAGGCTCTCTTTGCAGCAGTTCATCAAAGTCTCTACAATGTAAGTTTTGATGACCTCTAGATGCAAAAGTGTGTAAAATTCCCAGGAGGAAAATTATGTAACCAGCATGTATAGCACTGAGAGTTGCACCACTTTCAAAAAAGCCAAGATAATCTGTCTTTACCATTGAGCAGCAATGGACCAGCAGACCTTGCTAGTATACTTTATATATTGAGTTGTAGCCACATTATTTACTGTTTGGAGGAACAGATTGTCTGCTTTAACAAGGAGATGTACCTAATAAACTTAAAATTGAATTCATGTTACTGTCCAATATCTACAATGGGCTGTAATTGACACCAATTTCTTTTCAAATAGCCTGTTAAATCCAATAAACTGATCATTAACCTTTCACGGCTCAATGACAGAGGTTTAACTACTGACATAAGCCGTGAATTGAACTAAGTACTCATAAATTTAACACACTTAGCCTACTTTAAAAGACTGTGAAAACTCCAAGCCAGCAAGACCTGGATTGGTGATTCATGACTTACACACACACACACACACACACACACACACACACACACATATATATATATAGTATCAGCTATAGTTGTCTGGTTTAATAAAAATCTGTCCCAGAGATGCTGCACAGATTCAGTGTATAAATGATACTTCTTACTTGCTCATAAATGCGGGTCAGTCTGTCCTCACATGAACCGTAATGCAGCTCCAGGTCTTGGTCAGTGTAGCCAAATAGAGCTATACAGCCGTTGGGCTTCAGTGTCCGACAGGCCTCCTTCAAAAACCCCTCCTGGTTAAACCAGTGGGCGGCTGAAGCTGCAGTCAGCAGATCCACTGAGTTATCTGGAAACGGTAAATCCTCTGCAGTTCCAACCCTGCAAATCAAAATGTGTGTGAGGTACATGTAGTATTTCCAACATGTGTCTAATTAACTACTAGTGCCACTTAATTAGTGACAAAACCTTAAATGGCTTATTTAAATGGTTGTTAGATACACTACCAGTCGAAAGTAATTGCACACCACAGGTTTTTACCACTTTTACATTTTTGTCATAAACTGTAAATTTCTTGATTTTGTTAAGCATTGGAAAATATGTCAAATAAAACAAATTTGCTTTATAACATGAAAAGAGTATTTTGTGCGGTGATGGCATAATCAAATTCTAGGCTGTCCTTTAACTCTACATGCACTAGTTAACTGTTTCATCTCATGGAACAGAGCAGCATTTAATGTCCCTTGCAGAAATTTTCTCTGCTGGTATAACTGCTAGAGGAAGTTACTTTGATTAATCAAAGATATGACATTTTCTTGCTAATAAAGATTGTAAACATACTATACATTAATTTGTTAGCAAAGAATACTTAGTGTATTTTTAGTAAATGTTAAGTAGCATGCAGATGCTTCAGACTTTTCACTGGTAGTGTACATATCAAGGGTGTTAAATCCTCAATAATTAACCCCTTCTGCATTGTATCATCCCCTACAAAAAATGTACATCTTCATGTACTGTAGTACATATACTGTACTAAAAGAAAGGGTAAATAATGGATATAATGTACATCTTTTGTACCTACAACATTGTGCCTTCTATGTCACTCTTTAACTACTGGTCTGTAGCAATGGAGAGAGGCAATAGTAACATGGTATGTAAATGAAAATTGAGACAATTTAGGTCCGACTGTAATAGCCCAAGTAATCCATAACTACAAACACAGTGGCCACACTGACCTGTAAACGACATTTGGGAAACCTGGCACTGCTCTGGCCTCTTCTATCTGGCTCTCACTGACATCAATCCCCACCACCTCCTGGAAGTGAGGAGCCAGTCGCCGGGAATTCTGCCCTGTGCCGCAGCCCAAGTCCACAGCCAAAACATGGGGCTGTCCTTTCTTGTTGAGGGGCATCGGAGAGTTGAAGCAGAAAGAAGGCCTTAATACTGTATTTTCTTATGGGCATCCAGGGGGTAGACAAAGTAAGTGATATGCCTAACAATATATTAATATCAAGGACCTAAGACAGATCATCCGTTACCTTCAGTACAGCTTAAATCCTGAACTGAGTGTAGTGAGATACCAGACTTCCATTAAGATTTAGTGTCTGGGGAAGCTATGGAAGATGTCATCATGGGTTTCATAAAACCACTCTAGAATTTGTTTAGCAGTGTGCATGGGGCATTATCATGTTAAAATATGGGGACATTGTTTGCACCATACTGTACGTTGCACCTGGTACAGTAAATCGACCTCGCACTTGGTGATTATACATCCATGCAGAACAGTCAAACTAATATCTTCTATGAGATGGCTGCCCAGACCATTATGGATCCCCAACTGTGTTTAGCAGTTCAAAACAGATGCTGTGGATTGAAGATTTCTTTTGGCATATTCAAAATGTATATCTGTCTGGGTATAGTAACAATGGAACATATCACTTTTTTCGTTGCTCAGGAGTCCAGATTTGGTGCTTCTCACAGCAGGTTAAATGTCCTTATGCATTTGGCCTTGGATACACGTGGTTTGCAAAAGGCAGCTCTGCCATAAATTACAGCTTCGTGAAGCTCACAGAGGTGCTGATTCAATTCCATGATGATTTTTTAAGTCTATTGGCCAGTTTCCCAGTCAAGGATTAAGTCTAAGCCTAGACTAGCTTTGAGTTACAATGGTGAATCTCCATTGAAACGGCAATTTAGTCCAAGACTAGTCTTAATCCTAGTTCGGGAAACCGGCCCTATATGTGTTGAACAGCTACCTTACATCCATCTATGCCTGTTAGTGAGCTTTAGCTTTCAATCAATTGTTCGTCATTACTGATGCACTTTGTGCTTGAATTTAATGTTGTGATTTTTGGGACTGTTCCACCTAGAAACATTACTGCAGATCTTGTGACCAATGCACCTGCCATTCGGGCATACACTTACTTGTTTGGAACTCAGTTATCTTATATTGCTTTGGCAAGTCACATATTAAAATCCTAAGTGCAAGACCAATTTTATAGCTGCAAACTGGTACTCAACTAGACTTGACTCACATTCGTAATTGTGGTTTAGTTTTCTCTAAGAATAAATCCTTCCTCACATTGTGTCATTTTCTTCAGTCCTTGTCTGTTATTGTTCATCTGATTAACTGATGTGCGAATTTTTGCTTTAGATCCTTATTAAACTAAATTTATGTGATTACCATACAGCAATAGAGGGTATTTCCATGAAAGCCAGGAGCTAAAGACAGCAGACTGTGAAACTTCATTGTTATTTCATGTTCTATATACTTAGAAACATGGCCATTATTATATGTGATAGAACTTTGAACTATTGTGTCACTTAAGTTAATTATTAACTACAGCTAGAGGTACTTTTTTAAACAGTCTACATCATCCTACAAATCTGTTTAGGTGACCACACTACTACATGTTGCTACAATAAGACTTTATTCAATGCATGACATAAATCTTCTACTCATACTGTAAAATGGGGTACAAAGTCAAAGCTTCAACATTACATCTTAAAACAACACAGCTGCTTCTATGGAATTATTGGAGGACAACTTACTTTTTCATCCAGATATTGAAGAATTAAGTCTTTGATTGTGTTTGGAGGGACAAAGCGGTAGCGCTGGTAGATGGAGGCATGATGCTTCTCCTCAAACAGCCTGAAGGTCATGTTGGAATTCCCACACTACAGTACAGCTCAGTGACTCAGCAAACAGCCTGAATTAACCTCCAAATGATCTGTCAATCATTACATGAAGGAGGTGAATTGGACAGTTAACTCTTTGCTAGTATTCAAATGGATGGCCTCGTTAAATTTAAGACTTCGTAGCATGGATTTCAATGGTACAAGGAGATCAAATTGAAGTTGGAAGTTTACATATACTTAGGCTGAAGTCAACTTATTTTTTTAATGACTTCACAGATTTAATCTTAGCAAACTAAAAGTCAGCAAACTAAAATCTTAGCAAAAAAAGTCAGTTAGGGCACCTACTCTGCATTACGCAAGTAATTTTTCCACCAATTGTTTACAGACAAATTATTTAATTATTAATTCACTATAATTCCAGTGCGTCAGAAATATAGATACGCTTTTTCAGTATTTGGTAGCATTGCCTTTAAATTGCTTAACTTGGGTCATACTTTTCTTATAGCTTTCCACAGGCTTCTTAAACTAAGTTTTGTCCCACTGCTCCTGACAGAACTGCTGTAACTTGAATCAGGTTCAACTGAAACACTTTTTCAGTTCTGCCTACAAACATTCTATTGGACTGCGTAAGTGTCAAGTCTCACGTTGAACCCCTGAGACTCATGGTTTTTCGTCTTTGCTGCTATTGCACGGCCATGAGATGTAAATCTCACAGACTGTGATGCCCTTAAACCAAACGAAAAAGTTTACTTCAGTATCAGAAATGACCTGCTGTGAATGAGTCTTTTTTGATGGCTCACAGTTTTCACCAAAATGTACCAGTTTTCCATCACCCAACTCCCTGTTTTCACTGCATTTAGAATGATATGTATGGAATTGAGGTTGGGGCTTTGTAATGGCCACTCTAGTACTTAGACTTTGTTGTCCTTAAGCTATTTGCTACAACTTCTGAAGTATGCTTGGGGTCATTGTCCCTTTGGAACCGACCCTTACTGTACCTTCCCAACTGATGTCTCGTTGCTTCAGTATACCGAATAATTTTCCTTCCAGTTCCACTTGCAGCAAAGTACCCCACAGCATAACTCTGTCACCTCCGTGCTTCACGGTTGGGATGGTGTTCTTTGGCTTGTGAGCTACATACTTTTTCCTCCAAATTCCAGCAACTTATTGTAAGAAGCTTGTGGTACAGTATGCTACCACATATAGCTGTAATCTATGTGTTTGACCCAAGTTAAATGATTTAAAGGCAACATTATCAAATACTGAAGTGTATGTAAACTTCTAACTCACTGGAATTGTGATATGGTGAATTAACCTGTAATTGAATGAAGGCTGCTCTGACATATCACTGAATCATTAGAGTCCTGAACACATTCAAAGGTTGAAATTCATGAAAAGACAGTATATCCTATTTGGCATGTTTCACAAAAATACGATTAGCTTCACAACTGATCTGCATCACATGTCATTATTAAGTAAATTTAGATACAGGTAAAAAAATATTAAAGTTTAAACAAGACAACAATCTGGATTCACCCACAGAATGACATGATGGAAGCATCCAGTATGCTATACATATTTACCACAGAACTGTTATTTTTCATTACTTACAGTAGCTTACGTCAAAGTTTAACTCTGGTTGGATAGCAGCAGTCAAGGTAAAATGTCACCTGACAACTAATGTATTTGCCGACTGCATTTATAAGGTAAGTTTATTTGCGTTCCGGGGGCGGCTTTAAATGTAAATACGTTGCCACCCCGCATCAAAATAATAGTCAAATAATAAAGATAAATTAGTATTTGATTTTTTAAGCCGAGATATAGAAGAGACACTGAGTGACGCGGCCACCCGAATCGAAATTTTCTGTAAGCACCACTTTGAGAACTACGAAGAAAAATAAAACTCTTATATTTATTAAGCTCTTTTTTGGAAACGTTTAAGCACAGCTGTCAGATCGTAATTTAAAACACTTATTTTCTTATTTAGTTAACTATGTCAGGCATTTATAAGGATGGTTACAGAATGCTAACATGGTTTCAAACTAGCAACACCCACCGGTGTAATCGGTATTCATTTAAATGTCCAACACGATCTATTTTCCCAAATTAATTTTGCATTTTTACTTGCTACAGACTTTTTCGTTTGCCACCGTGTATCTATCTTAAAGTTCAGCGTCTGACAACCTTGTGTTCCCCGTGTGTGATTGGCTCGGCGCTCGTTGAGTGCCTTTGCAGGACCGCCAATAAGGAACGTGTTTCCTCAACCAGCGAGTGTCTGTGTCTCTCTGCTCCCGCGATGCTTCGGTCCGCCCGACGCCACAGTATATAAAAGCGTCAGGGTCACTTTAAGTCCCGAATGATATGGTTGAAATATGGTTATGAATAAAAGTATAATTTTATTACGAGTTTTAAAAGTGTAACCTTACAAAGAAACCCCATCGTCAAACGGGCGATGATGTGATTTGATGCTTAAACTCTGCCCCCAATGAGAATACAGAATGTTAATGTAAATATCCGGAAAGACAGATAGCACGACTTTTTAAATTCTAAATATACAACATTTTCTAGGCTGATACAACAAGATTTATACAAAAATATCACATGAAGGTATTACATTACTTACAGCTAGTGACATGCGATACGTCCATGTAGCTATTAGTTATGTTCCGTCTGTGTAATTCGCTTCACGCTGGTATCTCCGGCTCGGTTCGTACCAAGCAGTCGCAAAATGAAGGGGGTGAGTGTTCAGTGATTAATTAACAGTCAGTTCTGGCACAGGAGATACGTATCAGAAATCCGAGGGGTTTCAATGAATTTGGGAAAGAATACAACATTTTTAAGGGAGGGCGAATCCCTCCCACACACACACAATGTGGTCTAGCGCCGCCTATCGTCAAAAATGTCATGCTTAATTTTCTTCATACATGACATAATCCGGGTCAACAAAACCACGCGGTGTAGCAACACTCAGTAGCACTGCCTCGAATGTCAGTAGCTTGGATATGTTAACCTGCATAGTTTTACGGAAACGTCCTACTGCATAAATGAATAAAACTGCAAATTACTTAGGACACAGCTGTCAAATAGGCAAAAGTGTAAATGTTTACGTGACTACCATATATACTGCTCAAAAAAATTAAAGGAACACTTTGGAAACACATCAGATCTCAATGGGAAAAAAAGTAATGCTAGATATCTATACTGATATGGACTGGGTAATGTGTTAGGAACAAAAAGATGCCACATTGTTTAATGGAAAATAAAATGATCAACCTACAGAGGACTGAATTCAAAGACACCCCGAAAATCTAAGTTAAAAAATGATTCAGCAGGCTAGTCCTTTTTGCTGAAAGTTTATTACAGCAACTCAAAATCGGAGTGGAAAAAAGAAGGCAAGCAATGTTATGGAGGTGGTATAATGCGGTTTTGGTGAGGAACTTGATTGTGGGCAAAGTTCAGTGATGGGTCAAATAGTACTCTATGATTTCTGATAACAGGAGCAGATTTAATGGGCACACCATCACTACAGACTGAGAAATCTGAAAAAAAGTTAACATGCATCCAAATCTTCAAATCAGAGATACCTGGAAGGGCTTTCAATGGGAGAGTTATACATACACTGAATGGACAAGATATTGGGACACCCCCCCCCCCCCCACAGGAATTTTTATGACATCCCATTCTGAATTCAGAAGCATCAATATGGAGTTGCTCCCCCCTTTGCAGCTATACTGTAACAGCTGGCATTCTTCTGAGAAAGCTTTCCACAAGATTTTGGAATGTGTCTGTTGGGTGAGCTGAGGCACTGATGTTGGATGTGAAGGCCTGGCTCTCAGTCTCTATTCTAGTTCATCCCAAAGGTGTTTGATGGGGTTGAGATCAGGGCTCTGTGTGGGCCAGTCAAGTTCTTCTATATCAAGCTCACCCAACCATGTCTTTATGGACCTTTCTTCGTACACTGGGGTACAGTCACTGAACTGTTACCATAAAATTGGAAGCCTAGAATTGTCCAAAATGTCTTGGTTATATTAATATATTAATGAGACTTTAAATCCCAAGTGGTGAAAGGAAATAAAAATATCCTTACATAATATAATCACGCCCTGCGATGGGTCGGCCCCCCATCCTGGGTTGTTCCCTCCCTCGTGCCCGTGGCTTCCGGGAAAGGCTCCGGACCCCCCGCGACCCAGTAGGATAAGCGTGTTGGAAAATGGATGGATGGATAATATAATCACTAAGCACTTTATTAGGAACATCCGTACTCCAGACAGGCTGGTTTGAGTATTTCTGTAGCTGCTGATCTCCTGTGATATTCACACACATTAGTCTCTGAATTTAACTCAAAATGACAAAAAAAAAAACAAAAAACATCCAATGAGCAGCGGTTCTGTGGACGGGAGCACTTTGTTGATAAGAGAGGTCAGAGAAGACTAGTTAGACTGGTTCGAGCAAACAGCAATGCTATGGTGACTAAGATAACTACTCTGTGATGAGCAGAAAAGCATCTCAAAGTGCACAACACTTCATACCTTGTGGCGGATGGGCTACAACAGCTGAAGATCATAATGGGTTCCACTTAATGTCAGCCAAAAACAGGGACAGTTGAAGACTGGAAAAATGTGGCATGGTGTGATGAAGTTTGATTTCTGATGAGGCACACAGATGGTAGGGTCAGAATTTGGCATCAACAGCATGAATCCATGGAACCAAACCCTCCTTGTGTCAACAGTCCAGGCTGATGGTTGTGGTGTAATGGTGTGGAGAATGATTTCTGGGCACACTTTGGGCCTGTCAATACCAATCGATCATCGCTTGAATGCCATGGCTTATTTGAGTATTGTTATTGGCCATGTGCATTTCTTTATGACTACAATTTTCCCATCTTCTAATAGATACTTCGAGCATGATAATGCAGAAAATTCTGTCTCAAACTGGCTTCATGAACGTTCTTCTGTGGCCTTCCCAGTCACTGGATCTGAATTCAAGAGAACACCTCTGAGATGTAGTAGAACCGGAGATTCGTAGTTTGGATGTGCAGCTGACAAATCTACAGAAATTGCATAATGCAATCATGTTTGCATGGACTAGAATCCCAAAGGAATGTTTCCAGCATCTTGCCGAATCTATGTCATGAAGAATTGAGGCTGTTTTGACAGCAAAGGGAGTCCCTTCTCAGTATTAGTATAGTGTCTCAAATAAAGTGCTCAGTGAGTGTATATTAAAATAGCTTCCATATTCATTTAATGCAAGCCATTCAACATCAGTTTTTTAGTGGTTAATATCCACAAGCACATTTCCTATAGTGGCAAACTGCAAATGACCTTCAGCAACCTGAAAGCTTTTGAAAAGTGCTGAATATTTCATGTTCTGTAGTAGTGATTGCTGTGCCATTCTTGATAGAACTGTAATACATTAAAAATGAAATTAAAAAGAAAGAATTAAGAGTAATCAAATATGTTTTAGTTTGGAAATAGGATTTCTGAAGGTAACATATTTAGGCTAAAGTTAAATAGTTTCTACTGAACAATGTTTTATGTCTTATCCCTTAATTCTCTGTTTTGGAAGTATTCAGGTCCGTTCATATTAACTGAACATCATTTTTTTAGTGCTTGTTGAAGATAGTATTTGAGAAATACTGGTAATATTAATTCCATCTAAATCTATGCACGAACATAGTTATAAAATGTTTAGAACAGTGGTTTTCAACCTGTGGGCCGCGGCCCCCTAGTGGGCCGCGACGGTATTGCAGGGGGGCCGCCAATTATTATTAATAGAAATTGTAATATTGTTAATATAATAAAAAATGTCTAGTCAAAATCAAATAAATCAAAATTTGATATATAATTAAATAAATTACCAGTTTATTCAATAAAGACAATTAACAGCCTTGCTTCCGAGTACTTAGTTAACCCGACACAAAAAGCGGGATCGTTTAAATTCTTTTGCAGTGGGCCGCGGAAACATATGTGTTTGGCTGTGTGGGCCGTGAGTTAAAAAAGGTTGGGAACCACTGGTTTAGAACATTAGATGTTTGCAACAAATTGTACAAGAGCATGTCGCTTGGAAAAACATCAGACTTGTAGGACAAAACATTATATTATATCAATGCTATCAACACTTCCCAAATATTGGTACAGGAAGTGATATATGACAGAAAGCAAGCAAAGAAAACAAGGTCAAATTAGGCTAGAGGACATTGTGTTTTCTGTAGACTCTGAAATATGTATCCATATTAATGTAGAATCAAATATGTTGGTTTTACTTGATTCTGTTAATTCTATTAACAAACATTTGCCCATTTATTTTGAGCCAATTGCTGCTGTAGCAAAAAAGTTACCCTAAATATGAACATTAATATATAAGTAAATAATAATTATTAATACCAGATATGGAATAAAGATATTTTCAGCTTGTTCTAGCAATTCAACTTGACCCAAACCTTTCTAAAGGCACGCTATTCCAAACTATTGCTCTTTCTCAACTCATTAGCTGTGTAGAACCTGCATTTAATAGAGTTAACACAGAAACTAAATATTTCCTTTAAATCAAAAACTTAAATGTATAATTTGCCAACTTTGTACTACACAGAAATAGCAAGCTGTTTGCGAGCAATGAATAAATAAATGATTTTGGATGATTTGTCTTATAGGCATTGGACTACAGGTAACTGAATTCATTCACAATTAAGCTTTACTCCTGGAGCGGTGAAATTAATTATTTACTTATCCTGCTACTGGCCAGTTTTCTCTTGCCTGTTCTTCTAGCTATTTGAATAAAATGTTTTTGGTTCTGAAACATGGAAAGAGATAAATCTCCAATGTGACCAGATAATCTTTCCAACTATCAGAAATAAAAGTGGCATGGCAATTAATATAACCATTATATCTATAATCAGTACCTCAATACCTTTTGAATATCTAAAGAAACACTAGCAGTCCATATTTTGTTTGGGATTTATATGTACTTTACATAGCTTATGTTAACTATATAACTAAAATGACATGACCTTTTAAATGTATGATGGAAAAAGAATTGTCTTAAATATTAATATTTTTTTCTGTTGTATGGACATTGTTGTCATGTAAGATTACAATAATATGATACATATTCTGGTCATAGTGCACCTTGTGTTACACACCTGCTTAATAGGTTCAGTAAACACCTTCTTAAAATGTATTTTTGTCTTTATGAGTATTTTTTTAAAATCCTATATTGTTAGTGTTGTCAGCAGATGGCAGTACTGGAGTGAAAATACATTCATTTTTAAAAGGACATGCAGGGCTTATAAAATCAGACATTTTTTAAATAGCCCATGAAATAGAAAATAAAATAATAGAAAGTCGTCCATATATGAACCCCTAACAAGAATGATTTCCTTTGCTCACAAAATTAAAACCTTGCCTCTTCAAATTTTCAAGGCCTAGTCGTCTTTGTGTGTTGCATAAAGCTAAGGGTATCTGAAATGAAGGCATTCATCAGCAAATTGAAACGGGATAACAATAGATAAAAGGTTTATTTGTAGCGAAATTTCAAAATATATGTAGAGGGGCAAAAGACAAGCTTTTCCATAGAAAACAAGAGT